GACCCGCACACCTCGTGCTCATAGCTAGTGCGTCATATTTGAAATGAGCCGTTGCTGTGTTCTGTTTGAATCACAAGTTTCACGAAATTTTAAATTCACATGTAAAAACGATAATCAATAAAATCAATAATCCCAATAAACTTTTGTTAATCTTGCTTTTACTCTTTACTGTATGACTCTCTACGATTTACTGTATGACTCTCTACGATTTGTTAATATTTGCTATGTACTAACGATTTTTATGTAGAAGTACATCAAAAAATCACAAGAAAAAGAAGCCGTTATAGTTTTATGGTCTACCCTTTGAAAGCAAAACAAATGTGCTAAACGAATACCAAAATTTAAAGACTGAAAAAACTAATACTAAAATTTTTTTTGGTTTTTTTGTTCTATCTTATATATAAAGCTGAATGTCTGTTTGTCTGTCTGTCTGTCTGTCTGTATGTATGTATGTACGTATGTTCCGAATAGAAAATTCCATTTCTGAACCGATAACCGATCCGGACCAAACTTGGCACACATACACTTCGGGCCCCGGCGGGTGTCATAGGCTACTTTTCGTCATCGATCGATATCGATTTTATCGATTTTTATCGATTTTTTTGCTGAGTTCACCTACGGGGCTGGGAGTTGGCACAGGGGGGTAATCGAGCATGGGGATTCCGCGCACACATACACTTCGGGCCCCGGCGGGTGTCATAGGCTACTTTTCGTCATCGATCGATATCGATTTTATCGATTTTTATCGATTTTTTTGCTGAGTTCACCTACGGGGCTGGGAGTTGGCACAGGGGGGTAATCGAGCATGGGGATTCCGAATACAATATTGGTTTTCAGGATTATCGATTACTTTTATCGATTTTATCGATTTTTTGCAAAGTTTGAGCTAGGGGGCTGGGAGTTGGCACAGGGGGGTAATCGAGCATGCTGATCATCCCCAAGGGGGGTGATCAGCATGCTCGATTACACCCCTGTGCCAACTCCCAGCCCCCTAGCTCAAATTCTCAAAAAATCGATAAAATCGATAAAAGTAATGGACGATCTTGAAGACTAATATTGTATTCGTAATCTGCATGCTCGATTACCCCCTGTGCAGACTCCCAGCCCCGCAGGTCAAACTTTACAAAAAAATCGATAAAATCGATAAAAGTAATGGACGATCCTGAAAACTAATATTGTGTTCGTTATCAGCATGCTCGATTACCCCCCTGTGCAAAATCCCAGCCTCGCATGTCAAAATTTACAAAAAATCGATAAAACCAATAAAAGTAATCGATAATTCTGAAAACTAATATTGTATTCGGAATCCCCATGCTCACTTCCCCCCTGTGCCAACTCCTAGCCCTGTAGGTGAACTCTGCAAAAAAATCGATAAAAATCGGTAAAATCGACATCGATCGATAACGAAAAGTGGACTGTGACACCCGCCGGGGCCCGAAGTGTATGTGTGCCAAGTTTGGTCCGGATACGGCGGAGCCGGGTAAGCCAGCTAGTTTTCCAATAAAAGCCAATGCTTATTGGTAGAATAATTTGTTACAAAAAATCTGTATCAAACATTGAAATATTTTCCAAGCAAATTTTCTTATCGATTTTCCAGAATTTTGTTAGAACCTGTTGACAACCTAATTTGCGGACTGATTTCTACCTGTTTTTAATTTCAGTATTGTGTACAACAAAGCCTCCTCCTTTCGTGTGAAAACATATTTCCTCCCCAACTTTTTATTGCTGAAAATACGAGCGCAAGTAACAAGTACATATGACCTACAACGGAAACAAAACAATATTTTCGCCTTTCAACTCCACTTTCCATCTTGTCTCAGTGATTGACTACGCTTTGTTGTGGGTTGCTTAATAATGTTCCTCGAAAAAAAAGTTTAGGACCATTTTTTTCTCTAGAACGCATTTTACTAGCTAAGGTAGCATCAGCCGTCATTTAATTTCCATTGCGCTGCAAAAAAGACTATTTTTTCATGGATGTGAAATTGCTTTCCTGGGAATCTAGAAGGTACAATTCTTTGTTCGACAAAGAGACATTATCAAAGAATTTTTCATGCCATAATTCGAGACTTTTATTGACACTTGCTCATGTCTTTTTCTTCTTGGAATAACATACTCTCTTATGCATGTTTCGCAACAGATGCTGACGTTAATGCATTCGGGGTTATCGAAGAATATCGATGGAGTCAGAAATGAAGCTATCGCGATAGTTTCGCCAGATTCTTTTGTTTCTTCATGTTTATTTTTCCATTTGAAATCCAAAAATGTTGAGTTGAATGCGGTCTCAAATCAAAATATGTTTAGTGCTAAAAAAATAACTTATCAAATTATGCTTTGCAAATATTTTCACCATCTCAACTCAAATCAATTTCAAACAGCATCTCCCTTGTATATATTAGGTTGGTGCATAATTCTTGCATCAAAATTTTTGAAATTCTATTACTTCATCCAGGATAGTAAGAAAAAATCCTGCGCATTGTAAAGGTGCTTGAGTCAAAATTCACCGAGGGCATACGGCAACCATACAAAGTAATTTAGAGAACCCATAAAGTGATTTTTGGATTTTTGGTCACTAAAGCTAAAAACGTCCTAAATTTATCATTGTTTTTGATTTTATTTATATGACATACTCTTTTCAACAAAGAGAAGTTGGTAGTGATTGGATGTTTCTGCGGGTAGTTATCTACGAATTTCGTTTTTTTCAAGTGACTTATTGATTTTGTTCCATATTGATTTTCTATAATGTACTATTATAAATGCTACCTTTGATATACATAACAATAAGCATATTTTGTATATTGATTATGCTGTTTAAGAATTTTCAAAACAGTTTTTTCTATTTTTGGTGCAAGAATTGGGCATCATCCTAATAGTTCCACTCACTTTCTCCAAGTTCATCAACTATCTGCGTAATAATGGATGCTATCGCTTTCTGTTTTTTTGTAATGCTAACACCAATAAGCAATATCAACTTGTTATTGCTTTCTAAACGAGCACTCATATCATTTTAATAGTTGCAAGTGATATTATCTCCTATGTAATTGCTGCTATTCAGTGAAATGTAAAAACGAAAAGAAACGGTGCCGGGAGAACGTCAAATTTCGATTTTTGCGTATTCTTATTATAACCTCTTTTCGTCATTATAGTCATTTGTTGTTACAAAGAGTTTTGCGTCATTCTGTAATGTGAGCCATTCCAGATTCTTGCAATAACTGTGCTGTTGAAATGGACAGTTTTTATTTACTGAAAACATCACGCTTCACTCATCTTAACAGATCAGCGTCAAGAAGCATTTACTGTAAAAAGTTTTCTCCTCTAGTTCATTGATTCAGAGTCAGGAATTAATGTCTACTCTTTTTTCTAGAATTCAGTGCTATGCCACATACTTGCAACTTTCTGGAAAACATACCCTATTTTGTACTTGGTGAAGCAACGCTTCTTGACTGTGTTTCTCCAAACGAATTGTTCTTTTGATTTAACTTCATCACTATGATATTTTGGACGGAACACACAAGCTATCCTGCAAAAGTGTTTTTCTCAAATTTCAAGCTCTTTACGTCAAAGTGTCTTTACTCTGGGCTTGTTGGCAAATCAAGCTCTTGAAAGTTTGTTAATGAACAACTAAAAAACAATCATTGTGGCTGTACCTTGCAAACATAAGCAAATATTTGTTCAAAAAAAAAACAATGATCACCTTGAGGAATCTTGGGAGAGACTTGCTAATGCCACGCAGATGTGAAAATTTTGGAGAAGAATTGATGCAAACTAATTTTATGAACTTATAGGAGAATCTAATAAAATGCTATCAAAATGGTAATCGCTCTTATACTGCGGGAATTTGTGGATTGCGCTCCATTTTCTAAGTGCGTCCATGTTTGTACGAACACCCCGTACTCTGGGAGTTTCTCCAAAGAAAATTCAAAAAATGGCTGGGACTAATTGAAAGAGCATAGCTGAGAACGGTATGTAAGGCGAAAGAGTAAAAATCGATTTCTGTCTTAGGCCCCGGTCAGACTTCACACGACTTAATCGTCGCGATCTAATCGCCAAGATTTCCATTCATTTTCATTTCACATTCAAAAATGTCGGGCTGGAAAAGTATCACAACCGAATGCAAGTTGATCGGCATGGAATGATGTTGTAACAGTTGTCTCGTCGCGACTCAGTCGCGACGATCAAATCGCGTGAAGTCTGCCCGGGGCCTTAGGAATATTTTGATCAATTTTCAGCGGCTCAAAACTTTACGAACACCTTAAAAGAAGCGTTTCTTTTTCATTAGAATCTGCAATCTTTTGGGTCAATATTTTTTTTGCAAAGCCACAGTAAACAAAGTCTGAGGATATCTATGGATATATTACTCTTCACAGATGACTTGAAATGTTTTTAAAGTGGATGTTTCAAAGACATCTGTTTTTTTCTATAGTTCGAGCATTCTAATTAGCTCCCACCAATGCTATGAGATGAATTGAGCTTTGATAGATATGCTTGAGGCTTAGGAAATCGTTGCATACTAATCCCGTTCTTCGCATTGGTAGAAACTAATCAGAGTACTTGAACCACAGGAAAACAGACGATTTTGGGTTACTTATTTTTTCAAAAATTCAACTCGAGAGATCGCGCTCTCGAATGAAAAAGAGGAGCTTTGTTTGAGATGTTCGTGCAAATTCGAAAAGCTCAAAATTCGTATTCGGCTCAAAACATCCCCAGGGTAGACGCCGATTTTTTCCTGTGCCGCACTTACGTTTTTCGGTTATGCTTCTTCACAGGTAGTACAAATAGTTGAGTTTGAGTTTTTTTAAGTCCCAAAACTGCCAAATCATGGGATGTTCGTATATGTAGTCATGAACTGCAACTCATATTTAGAAATCTGTCGTCTGTTTTCGTACTTCATAGCAGTAACAGTAGGCACATAAAACTTCGAACCTTGTGTGCCAAACAAGTACTTTTTTCGAGCTTCGCTTTTGTTTTGCCTGTACTTTCTCATCTGTCATATACTCGTACACTTACAGATGAACTTATTAGTATCCTTATGTTTGCTGCTTGCCTGCGTTGTTGGTGTCTATGGAATACAATGCTATGTTTGTAATTCTATTACACATCCAGACTGTGAAAACGACTATGAGAAGTATCTCAGGGTAGTTGCTGACAATGCAATACTTTAGCATTTGTTATCGCACATTGTATTATTCAGAATTGTCCGGTGAAGTCATTTGGTGGACGAAAAGCAGTACCAGCTATTGGATGTCGAAAATACAGGCAAACAGCAAGTGGTAAGCCTTTCCTCTTCTATCCAACATATTATTAGGTTGTTGCAAAAATAATGTCCGTTTCTCTAGGCCTATATTCCAAATAACTTTTTTCCATTAAACTTTCTTTTACGATATAAAATCAGCATATCGTTAGAAAGCTCTCATCATATACTTTCTAGCGGTGGTGGAATTAACTTGCTGTCCTCATCCGTGAGAATTTCTCCAGCATTTTGACATCCGCACGCAAAATCGAAATCTCATAGCTTTCAGTTTCCTGACCACAATTCAGGAGCAAATAAATGAGTTCTTCCGAAAACATAGTAATTGTATTGGATGAAGATTGTTTACCTACCGCGTGCTTACGTAGATTTTTGGAGATATCTGGACTGAGAAACTGACTCCTCGAAATTGATACTCGCTGCTGACATTCTGTTGGTCAGAAATTTCTCATTATTAGGTTTCGCTTTCGCTTTCGCCAAAGTTTCGCCCATTTCTGTAAGCTTGAGAAAAGCACACCTTAACTACAATATCTGAAGAAAAACTTAGCTATTCAATGCGCGAAGAATTCCAAATTTTCATAATCTGGCACTCAGAAGCCTACGACAAATAGGCTCAAATAGTGAATATTTTTGAATTTTATCTTTTCATTTTCGCAAAACTCCTTCTTTGGAGTCTTTTCAATACACACGTAAACTCTTGGCCTGCGGCTACAAAATAAGCTGATTGCGAGCCATAGAACAAAACTTGAAGGGAGTTGTAAGCTCTTAAAGGCAGCGTCCAGGCAGATCTGGACCTATGGGGCTTTTACATAGAAAGTACTTTTGGGGCCCTAACTAAGGCACTGCCCAAGCGGCAGCTCAGGTAGTGCTCTAATGGCTGAGATATTCCCCTCGAAACTGGCCCCCGCGAACGTATTCGCATGGATTAATGGCAGTTTCGCGTCAGGATCCACGCTTTGCGCCATGAATCCATGCGAAACACGGTCGCGGGGTCCAGTTTTGAGGGGAATATCTCTTAGCGCACTACCTGAGTTGCCGCTTGGGCAGTGCCTTAGTTAAAGCCCCAAAAGTACTTTCCACGTAAAATCCCCACAGGTCCAGACTTGCGTGGACGCTGCCTTTAAAGGCAGTGTCTCACCAAAGTTGAGGTCGCGCGGATCTTTACATATTCTATTATAGGGACCTCTAGATAGGTCATTGCAACAAGTCCCACTCAATTTGATCCCCTCCACGCTGAGGAAAATTCGCTCAAAGTGGTACGCGGAGAGCCAGTTGGTACGCGCGGACGACTCCTTCGGTCTCCCCCCTTACGCGTTTGAACATGTCCCTCCACTTGCCATCCACCACCCCTCTGTTGCTGCCACTGTGGCTGAGGCTGGAGTTGGAAGGTACAACTCGTCCACGTTGATTCCGCGGGGCCTCCAGAAAACGGGGTTTTTGGGAACTTCGTGCGATTTTAAGTCCATACAATGCTAGACAGGGTCCGACAGGCTTGCAAAATGCAAAAATCTCGGCAACTAAATTTTGGTGAGACACTGCCTTTAAAGACGAGGTTTTCAAAAGAAAAAGTTTTAGTTTTTTGGCGCGTGGTTTTCTTCTCATTTGCGATATCAGTACGGACGGGTGCGCCCTAAATTAGGAAAGGTTTGCTGTTTCTGATGGTCTTGACCGCACCCAAAAATATGAAGACTGAACGAAGTTATATCGTGTAAATCTGCAAAACGGCATTATTTTTGCAACAACCTAATATTTATTTTTTATCTGAAGTCTTCAAATTTTCGTTCTGCATTAATTCAACTCCCATCATTCCTTACTTCTTTGATGAGGAACAATTGTTCCTTCTGGACTTTGCAATCTTCAGTGTCTTTTCAACTAATCAAAATCTCTAGGAAGCTCAAATTCCAGTTCGAGTTGAAGTCCTCAAAGAAGAGTTCCTCAGTTAGGTAAAAGACCTGATTCTATCGCAATTATAATAGACGTCTGGTTCTATTGTTGTTTCCCAATAATTTTCTTTGTAACCTAGTCATCTCTTGCGATTGATTTTTTCTGTTATATGCAGTGTCATACCAAGCCAGGTTGTTGGTGGATCTTAATTAGACCTGACAGTTGGCTGTCTCGTCTTCTTCAAAGGTCTGAACGAAGATCTAGGCACCGTAAATGCATTGTCTGTCCCTATGAAAGCATAAAAGATTGTGCAAAGGCAGTTGCAACTAAGATGGAAGGTTCGAGCTGTCAAGATTGCTACATAAAAGAGATTGAATGCTAGGTATAAGGCTAAAGGAACATCTACCGTGAGAAAAACCAGGAATACTAAGCACCGTTGGGGCTCACAAATCCACAGTGCCCAGAGCCACACTGTGGGACTACTATTAAGTGAATGCTGTACTCATAGTATGTGAGTGAGGTATGCGCAAGTTTCGAAGAGCGTTGATATCCAAGATCAGAATGTATATCTGTGAATCAAGTGACTTTGTTCCGTATAATCGTTACGCAATCTTGCAGTCACACACAAAAGCCTTGACTGATGACACTTAGTGGCGTTTTTCAATAAATAATTGTGCGGACCTCACGCAAATGCGGCCAAGGAAAAAATGTCGGCTCGCTTGATAACCTGCATGGTCTTGCGCTGCTAATCTGTGATTAGCCCTAGAATGGCAGAGTAAGAGGAGGCTCATGATGGGTATTGCTCATATTTAAATAAACCTATAATCTTTATTTGGTGCTTCAAGGCCTAAGGCATGCCTCATGCGTTCCAGTCGCTGCGCGATCTGGCACTGCACAACTCTTCATCATTAATTCACATTTTGCTTGATCCAGATTGGTTACTTTTGCGAGCACTTACAAAAGCTACGCGCCTATGCATTTGACACTTGCACACGATTAATCCGTAGACATTTGGCAAAACGCCAAATCGTGTGGATATAGCAATTTGGCGGAATCGCCGGGAATATGCTTCAAGCTTAAAGAAGACGAGGCAGTCGAAACGGTCATGTTTAATAAAAAATCATTCACCAACAGCCTGGTTTGGGACAACGCAGCATATCAAAGGCAGTGTCCAGGCTAAACCTAACCCCCTCCGATTAGTGTCGATCTTGAATGTAGGCCCCAGAAATGGGGCATCTGCGTTGGTCCGGTCTTCTAACGTTGTCTCTTAATGGAGATAAGGGGTCTGGAAGTCCCTGGCTGGGCGGAGTCTGATATCAGACTCCGCCCACCAGGGACTGCCTCCCGACGCGTATTGACATGGTAGTGAGCAGAAGCTGTACACTGCTGCAACTGCACCCATGGAGTTGCAGCTCCTTTCCGCTGGCATGCCGATGGGGACGAGCGATTGAAACTCGTCCGCGCCCTAAAGACAGGGTCTCCAGGAATCGGGTTTTTTGTGAATTTTGGAGAATTTGAAGTTCGGAACTGTAATCATGGCCACGGAAAGGCCCCAGAATGACGAAAACATGGGGGGCCAAATTCTGGGTGGACGCTGCCTTTGAAGCGCACAATATGCTCAAGTTTGTATCAAATTGTCTCATAAGTTCCGTCCGTTTCGAATTTCAATCGCAGTAAATCATGAACTTCTTGTTTTTAGAAGGCTTCGAGGTACCATTCGATAGAGCAAAGCAAGCTCTACAAGATGACGTTTTTGCTCTTACATTATTTCAAATCCGTCTCGAGTTTCGAGCCGAAAATTAAAAAGATTCGACTGCCCGAAAAAGCGAGAAGCATAACTTCGTTCGAAAAAGTCTCACAAAAATTCTAACTTGCTCGCGTAGATCTAAGACATTTATAAACGCCGTTGCCGTTTTTTTCATGGATTAGATAACAAGAAAACGAAGATTTTTATTTCTTTCCCAAAATGATGTGTGCTGTCCCTACATAGATAGTTGCATACTACTAGTCTGTTGAAGTATAAATATAAATTTACAGCTTCCTACAAGCTCTGGTTCTCGAGAAAATCCAATATAGCTTGCCTTAGTTGGGTGCCTTACGCTAAAATCCATATTTCGCAAAAACAGTGCTTGTAGAGAGCTGAAAATTTACAGTTGTACCTATACAGGCTAGTAGTATGCAACCATCTATGACGGCAACGGCGTATATAAATGTCTCAAATGGATTTTGTCTACGCGAGCAAGTTAGAATCTTTGTAGGACCTTTTTGAACGGAGTTATGATTTTTTTTCGCTTTTTGGGCAGTTGAATTGTTTTAGTTTTCGGCATGAAACTCAAGAATGACCAGAGCTGGTGCAAAATCAAAAAACCCTCTTGTAGAACTTGCTTTGCTCTATCGAACGGTATCTTAAAGTCTATCTAGAAACAAGAAGTTCATGATTTATTGGGACTGAAAATCCATACGGACGGAACTTATGGGACAACCTGGTAAATAACAAAAGCACTTGATCTACTGAGTTTTTCTCTAGTCTTCATCCTATCGTGACTTACATCTGTAATGACAAGAACGTTGTCAGAGCGGCTCCTTACCTTGCAAATACTTGTAAGAAAACAAGGAATGTGTTTTTTTATCATATTAAATTTTCTGATATCGTTGCTTCTCGAAACTAGCGTTTATTCACCCGCGTTTGATGATCTTTTGTGTTCATTCGCGAGCTAAAAGGCGATAGGTAGTTGCTTGATAACCTGCATTTTTGCAAATGTATGCATTTTTGTCATTCATCGATTTTCCTATTACTACTAACAAAAACTATTTTAGAAGAGACGTCATTGGTTCGAGAATGCGCTTACTTGGGTGAAAATGTCGAGGGAAAGAGCAGCAAGGTGGGTGATTCAATTGGTGTTCTATAATAAGAGATTTCATTGAAAATTTCTGCGCTTTTAATTTTGTCGTGTTGTCATTAATAGTGTTATGGCTTTTTGTGTAACAGTATTGTAACAGTAGTTGATATATAAGGTACATATATCTGATATATATGTACCTTAGTATCAAAGTAAGGTACAAATTATGGTTTTATTCTAAAGTACACTGAGTAAGAGTAGTGCTGTCACTATATTTTCGCCTAATCCATAATCCTTACCTCCCGCATCAGAACCAGAAACTAGTGACTTGTTATCCATCTTCAGAGCTAGCATTTACAGACTACAAATGCATATATGCACACTATAGTGTGTAGAATCGTGCAAGATGAATATCGTTTTGGGGGTTAAAAGTAAAGGAGATATCGTTTTTTGGGGGGTCCTTGTGCACTCAAAGGAATGTTTCAGAATAGTGAACCGAATTGCTAGAGAATTACTCTTATACCTGAACTCACATAATTTGAATGCCGCATAGAACATAATCTTCTAGGAGGGCTGGCGAATTTCACGGCCATCAAGCAAGCTAATGTTTTAGGGTTCTAAAGAAACCCCCACCCTCCCGAACGAACGGAACTTCTCTTGCTGTCATTTTTTTGAGACGAAGCGAAACAGTAAACACTGCTGCGTGACGAAGGCGCAGAAGCAGTATTAGATGAGCTTGCGCGAACGCTGCGTGCGTATCTTCACCATTGTAAATTCTGCGCCTCATGCGCTTTGCGGCTTATGAAATCGCGTTCACGCCCAATATTGCGCCTTTGTCATGCAGCACCCTGTATTTTGCGATGAGCATACTTTCGCTCTGCGCAGTTTGTCCTGGCCATGACTACTCCGACTAATAAAGGACGCAACATCCTCTTTTTCTTTCTTTGCCCACCGTTCACTAAAATTTGAAACCGAACTGCGAGAATTAAAGCTGAGGATCTTTCAAGTTCAATGATTTGAGGCTTCTATAGATTTCCTAATCAGCATATAACAGACGACAAGTATTACTAGTGGAATGTGAAAAGTGATCAAGGCATCTTGTATCACGTAATGTATTAATATATATCATCAACGACGTGGCAAACCTTTTTAGGTGGTACTGTGCTGCCTGGCAAGCCATGGGCCACAGAAAACACTTATTTCTCGCTTTCCCACTTACTTTCTCAATCTTTCTTATATCACTTTTATCTATTATATATCTCCAATCTTATTTACATTCTCAATCCGCTTTAGGCCTCTTTCTCCCTTCTCGGCTTAGTTACACCATCAAAAATTTTTTAGTGAGTCTTACGTTAGTGTACAATGTTTTATTTTGTTTTTTGGTGCTATTTTTTGGGTCGCAGATTGTTCAAAACGAAATCATGCTCTAAAAATACACACCTAAAATTATCGAGACAAAACCTAATAGTTGACAGACAATTAAAGCATACTATCAGCGAACTAAGCTCCAATTACGACGCCAACGATCAAATGTCATTTTCTAAACAACATTTCTACTTCAGCATCTTGAGTACACTTTCGGATACATGTGCCATGTCCCTACTCGACCCGGTCACATTAATTGGTGATATTCATAGACAACCTTTCCAACATCGATAAAATACAAACAACAACAACAAATAAGTTATATATTCAATCCACTCACTTTCCTGCAGGGATCCACTGGAGTTTCTCGGGTGATGACCCAGTGTTCCGACAAGCCAGGCTGCAACACGGCGGCGACATCTGGTCTAATTACTTTGCTGATGATGCCTCTTCTTCTCTTGCGAATCTGAGCGTTGTGTTGAATTGTAGATAGAAACTATGTTTTTTTCAAACAGAGATTATCGTTTTCCTTGTGTAGGGCTACCGACGCAAATAAGGAAATTGCTTTGCTTTCGCCTATCACGCGACGCCAATCTGAACCATTTGGGAAGTTGGCGAACTGCACAGTTGCTGTTATAAGCTCAAGGTGCACATCGTTTGCGACGGTAGCCCATCTATGCTCTCTTGTCGGTTTTTAGTATGCACGAAGCCAACCTTGGTAGCTTCAATGCATGTCTAAGTAATACCGAGTTCTCATGTTAGAATTGGGCGTTTCACATTATAAAAGAAAAGCGGACGACTCTACTTCACTGCATAGCTGAAAGCCGACATTATTGATATACTCACAACATTGATGTCATGTCATTTTTTCTCAGAACAATTTCTGCATCACTTCGTTGCTTATTCATTTACAGAAAGTGTAAAGCATGCTCATAGGTTCTTTGAACTCGTCTTCTTTTATCGCATGTATCATTTATTCCCATTAAAAGAAATTTCTTGTTTCAGCTTGGGAAGTCATGAACCTCTCGAAATACGTTGACTCTAAATTGTATGTTTTTTTCCGCTTTGATCCCGTTGTTCACTCATTTCGAGTCATAGGCCAGAGAACGTCATAACTCTCCGAAAACGTTTGCTTCTGAGTACGAGCAGGAGTAGAGGAACGAACGCCTCAATGGGTAATGCCTCCGCGGGCTGCTGGTCCTTTCGTCCTACTGTTGTGCATCGTGTTAGGACCAGTAGTCCGCGGAGGCGGTACCTAATTGAAATGTTCGTTCCTCTACCCTACGAGCAGGAAAGAAGAAAATTTTCGGGTCATACCATACCCCACTACAATAATTTTGACTACCTAGTCGATTTCTTTTGGAAAACTTTTTCCTTTTTTACAAATAATGTTTTGTATAGAAGAACGCGGGATCAGAGCCACGCATGAGATTTAGTTGATAGCTCGATTAGGATGTTGGTCTTTTCCATCTGTTTTTCATTTAGCACAGTTACAGCAAATAGGATGTGCCTGCTACACATAGAATGTTAAAATAGAGAAGTTGAAGCATTTATGGCAACCAAGTCGTCTTGAACTGCCAGAGATTTGTATCATTGTATTTTTCATAAATATGTAATTTGCTAGTAAAGAATTAAAGATTGTGACGTTGAAATTAGGCACAAATGAATACTAGAAACGAAGTAGTAGATTCGTTTTCTATGATATAGGAGGTACATGCACTCTGTTGCATCTAAGAAAGTAAAAAATTATTTAGGTTATGTGAGCAACGAGCTCAAGCATCATGTTTATCAATGCAACTGTTCATAACAATTTCTATCATAGATGTCTTATTCGTCCCCATTACTAAAGTAAAAACTGAATTTGCCTACGGCGATGCGGCAAAATCTGTTTGATCGCACCAACAAAACGACTGAAGAGGGTGAAGGTTCATTCAATGTCACACCAACAGCGGTCTAGGCCCCAAATTTACATAATTAGTTACACGAGGATGGCAACAACATAGGCAATGTCGATGACTACAGAACACCTCTGAAATAGCTTGGAACTGAAAATGAAGATATTGCGAGATATAAAAAACAGAACAACTTCCCAGATTGAGCGTTCCAAGGGCTAAAGAAAGAGAAGTGAGGCTCACGGATTTGGCGGGATTGCAAAACGTATGGAACAGCACTGCGGCAAAAAGGATCTCGCCCGCTGGTGAACAAAACACAACATCGCATTACGTTATCGCCACACATGGAAATGTAAAACGGTGGCCGACTCTTGTCGGAGGATCAATAATAGGCTATGACATCTATTCTATGAGGTCAAAACATGTCGCGATATGCACATAATTCGTGTAAAAGCGAGAAAGAAAAACCTATGAGATAACTCTGTGCGGACTTCACATCCACTCTGGACAAAAAGTGGAAATAACAAAAAAACATCGAAACTGCTTTGGAGGGAAATGAAGGGAAAAATACTAAAATGAAGGGCTGACTTAAGAGTAACCGAATGTTAAGATGAGCATATAACACTCGGTAACTGCGACGGATGCGGTATCAAATATAAGATTACGAAATGGAAAGGCTCAGCTCGGCAGCGAGTTATCCTTATGAACATGTTACAGAGGCGTCAATCGATGTAACACTGGATTATATCCTTTTTCCATCTGTCTGATAGCATAATGTTTGCTGTTGTCATAAGGGTTTTGCGCAAATTGCGATGAGACCGGATTGCGATTGTTCCTAATAATGCCCAGTGCGGGCTGTAGAAACTAGGAGGATGATCCCGCAAAGTACCGTTCTATTAGGTTGTCCGGAAATCAATGCAGGTTTTGAATTTCAACCAAATAAGTCATACACTTCTCATTTCTAAATAGGTTGCAAGGTACCATTCGATAGGGCAAAGCAAGCTCTACAAGGTGGCGGTCTTGCTTCAGCAAAAGTTCTGATCCACCACGAGTTTCGAGCCAGAAACTGAAAAGATTCAACTGCCTGAAAAATTTAGAAAAATCGTAACTCATTTCATAATAATCCTGCAAAAATTCTAACTTGCTCACGCAAACCCAACCCACATAAGACATCCATATACGCCGTTGTCGTATTTTTTTCTCTGTCAGAAATCAAAAAAACGGATATTTTCATGCATTTGCCAAGTGGTGCTGTGCCGCCCCCACATAAGTAATTGTATACTACAAACCTGTAGAAGTAAAAACGTAACTTTTCAGCTCTTTACAAGCCTTAGTTCTCGAGAAATCTGAATTTTAGCTTGGACCACCTAAACCACCTAACTAATGAAGGCTATATTCGATATTTCTCGAGAACTAAAGCTTGTAGAGAGCTGAGAATTTACGTTTGTACTTCTACAGGTTTGTAGTATGCAACTACTTATGTGGGGGCGGCACAGCACCACTTTGGCAAATGCGTGAAAATTTCCGTTTTTTTAATTTCTGACAGAGAAAAAAATACGGCAGCGGCGTATATGGATGTCTTATGTGGATTGTGTTTACGTGAGCAAGTTAGAATTTTTGCAGGATTGTTATGAACTGAGTTACAATTTTTCTCAATTTTTCGGGCAGTTGAATCTTTTCAGTTTCTGGCTGGAAATTCGTGGTGGATCAGAGCTTTTGCTAAAGCAAGAACGCCACCTTGTAGAGCTTGCTTTGCTCTATCGAATGGTACCTTGCAACCTATTTAGAAATGAGAAGTGTATGACTTATTGCGGTTGAAATTCAAAACCTGCATTAATTTCCGGACAACCTAATAACAAACGGCGAGGGTTGAGAGTCATCCAAAATTGCCAATCACAGCAAGCACCCGGGTTAAACTCGATAATGAAATTTGTTGTCCTTCCTGCACTTCCTCAAGAAGTGGCCATAGCAACCTCATTTTGTAGCACATGTCGCACGGACGACCTTTTGTTACGGATGCGGCACGCATGGAGGGAGAGTATGACTTTGCGGCGTAAAAAGAGAGTCTGTACGTCAGGTAACGAAATCCTGAACAGACGAGGTACAACTATCAGAAAAACGTGAAATATTCGAAGTAGTGGAAAAGGTTACATATTAATTCACTCGGTTATGGAGCGGGTTGAGGCCGGCTACTTCCCCTTCTTTTTTTGCTTATGGAGGCTGTCAAGATAGGATTGCTCACCTGCATTGCTTTGGCCTTCAATACATACAGATATGTTTGATATAAAAATGAAAGTTCGGGTTCGTATCGGCTACTACCAGTAGTTCGTTTCTCTGCGTTAGAAACGTTAAATCTTTCAGCAGATAGATAAGCTCTAATTTTTCGCGGAGAGTAGGCAACTATCGGCGTTAAAGCTTCTAAAATTTTCGTGTTAAATTCGAAATATTTTGCCAAACCGGGTTTGGTAAATGATCGCTTCAAAAAGGAGCTGGATGAGATCTTGCTGCTTCGGGTCCCGAGAGGGAAGGCCAGTGCTGCAAACTAGGTGATTAAAAGCTTGTACTGATATCATAACTTTTGAACGACGTCGATGATCGCCGGGTATTGCTGCATTGCTCCACCATGATGAACAGATTAAAATAATAGCTGGCAGAATAGTTGGATCGACCGCTTCCTAGGTTGGCGTATCATTTGAGTGGCTAGAAAATCGGCAAGCACGCCATGTGAGCAAACTCCCGCCCCTGACCCTGGCGTGCTTGGCTCCGCGCCCAAAGCCTTCCGCGAAATCCAAAACACACTTCAGCCAAACGTGGCTTGCCCGCCGTTGAGGCACAGTCCGGCACATGTTGGCTCCGACCATTTTTGAATGCAAAGTCCCGCAACATCGCACAATTATTTCGAAGTCATGAGATGGGATGAAAACTGCAATGAGAAGAGAAACCAGCTCCAAACCGTTCAATGGAAAAAGACTAATTTGTACAAAGTGTCGGCAAATTTTCCAAAAAGTATATGCTAGTAGTAAATCCATCGTTAGTTTAGATCTGAAATGAGGACTTCAGATGAGACTCGTAAAATGAACTTACGAGCGGCCAACCTTCTATGCTAAAGTACTGCGCCGGGACCTGGCAGTGAGCGTCAGTGCACGTGTCGCGATGATCTCCCCTGAATTCTGTACGAGCACCCGTTTTGAGATGATCCTACGGAAATAGTGTGCAAACTATGAAACCCGAAGAAAAAACACGTTTATTTAACAAGTTTTCTCTCTTTTTTTGCAAAATTTGCTTCAATTTCTTCAAGAACTGTATGAAAGGAGTTTATCTATCCTCATTTTATTTCGTTCTAAATAATTAGGTTGGCGCAAAACGGTTTTGCCAGTCCCGATTTTATCGATTTTTGTAAAGTTTGACCCTGCGGGGTTTGGAGTTGGCAGAGGGGGGTAATCGGGCATGCTGAAATGCAGAAAGAAAGCTTGTAACTTGCTAAAAATCCACATTTTTCAAGGCGATAAGGACCATGAGAGGCAGCAGCAAACCTTTCGCAATACACCGCACATAAAACTGTAGTCTAATCACAAACGTACAGAAAAATACGGAGTGATAAGCAAGAAAGTTTTTTCCAAAACCTCGTTTTTAACTGAACATAATTTCCTTCAAAATTTGTTATCATGAATGATAACAAATTTTGAAGGAAATCTGTTATCATTCAGGAAAGTTGCCTATCTTGTAGCAGCAAGTCAATAGTACAAAAAAATGGAGAAGGGTCAGACAAAGCAGATTTGCGAGAGAAAATTGTAATTCAAAATTGTCACCTTCTTTAGCATTTTTTCGTATCTTCAAAGTCACAAAATATTTTTTTCTAATCTCCGCATACTGAACGGCTGAATTTTTTGCAAAAACCGTCAGTGGGAAGCCCACCCTTACATCTGCTGCGATGAGCAAAGCTTTGGCGATTGCCTTCTTCAAAAGAACTTTATTGGTCATAGAGTGATCGCAACAGCTACCCATGTGGAGGAAAGCACATCTCAATCCAGGTACCTTCTAAGAATATAGTAAAGCGTGCGCAATGTAGATGAACTCTTTTACATGCAGTGGCTGAATTTCCAAAAGAATGCTTTCAAATGCGCTTGAATCCTGGTTAGAAAAGTAGATACAACGAGAATGATCGCAGCAGCTGCCCATGCGGAGGCGAGAATATCTCAGTCCAGGTACCGGAGACTGGTTTCAAGTGCTGTTGTGTGAAGCTCTATAAATTTTA